CCAGTCGAGGCACTTTGAACAACAAGATGGTACATCATTGAGGCAATCTGTAAGTGCTTGCACCTTAGATTATCAATGAAGAATTATTGTCTACAATCACCTAACCTCTCTCATTGCATCCCAATTCTTCATTTCACTAGATGCTAGCTTGCGTGATAACCACACTTGTTAAAGTCTACACCTTATATGAATATTCATGTTAGGGCTTGAGGGACTATTGTGATGCATCATCCTACATGGTAGACCACATGACAGCCAGCTAAACACAGATGAATTAGGAGTCCTTGCAAGGTCCACACTCCGTTCTATCTCATTCCTTCATGTCTTTTATGAGGTGGTTGGACAATTGTGCAAGGTGGTTGGGCACCTCATTTGAAGCGGTTGACCACCTCTCTCGTCGTGATATCATTCCCTTTGAAGTAGTACTTTTGAGGTGATATCACTTCCTTCCAAAAGTGGTACTTTCGAGGTGAGGTGACACTCCTATTACAATATATTCCTAAGGTGAGGTGCATCTCCTATCAATGAAATCTTTTACTAAAACCACATTGGTCAAAAGATACTTAATACAGAGAGTATACATAAACTATTTGGCAGCCTATAGAAGATACACTTAACATACTTTTCATATTGCTTTCAAGACATAGCGCGGCTGGTTTTGAACATGCGTCAAGCGGCCACATGCCTATTTAGCTAGGATTAACACCTTTTGACAGTGAAAAATCAATATGAGGTCACGTGTCAAACATTCAATGAACATCACTTGTTCTCTTATAATATAAAAGCTTACACTCAGTGTTTTCTTCAAGCCCAATATCAATATTCTCATTTAGTGTCTCACATCCAAGACATATACATCTTCTTCATCATTTGACTTGAACGTTGGTGTACTTACAACCGTCGTATATCCCATCGGAGCTATGATCACTAGCAGTCTAATGTTACAGTCCAAGTGCGCAAGTAACAACACGTGTACAAAAGAGGAGCTGGGATCTTTTTGCCAGGTAGCACCGCTGAATTTCGAGGTCAACATGTGTAATTAGTCTGTTGAAGTCGCTTCAAAAGTACAAATTGTCGACTTGGTCCCTGGCAACCCAATGGTCAACATCTCTGTACAACGTTAATGAATAATCCAACAGTATTAATATACAATTTGGAAAAATTACATGTAGGGTCCCCAACATGTAATTTTGACAACCTCAGTCACCAATCTTTCATTTTATAATATTTGAATCCCTAGTGACAATTTTACCTTGTGTTTAATTAATAATTCATTTTTTTTAATCGAAAATACTATTATGTCCTCATGTTCGGTTAAACAAAAAAATAAAATAAAATGTAACCAAAGCCACCAAGCCTCAAAAAGTCTCCCCCAATTTCCATTAAATAAATTTACTCTTTTATTTCCATCGTGCTTTTTCTTTCTTTTTATTTAAGGATATGAGTAAATTTATTTTCCTAATAAAAATGGGTTTTATGTTATCCAATATAAGGATAAAGTTGTCCATTGAGTTCACAAAAAATGTAAAAGGTGATATTGGAACTATCATAATAATATGCTGAGGACTTATTTCTCCAAATGATTGGGGGCCCAATTGTAATTTTTCCATTCAGTTTTAATTCTATCCTCCACCTGCCTTGCCGTACCAATTTATGCGTTGAGTAGTTTTAAAATTACGTAGTGAGAATGTGTCAAACTATTGCTTACAACATCAAAAGATTAATTAACTCACATTTTACGCAGTTGATGGATTCATATATATACAGATCACTATCTTTTCACGCGGTTTACCAAACGCCAAGTTTCCCTTCTTTATCTACTCAAAACAAACAAGTGACTTTGTCTTTGTGTCTGTGGCCAAGGGAAGATGGAAATTAGCCATTATTTTTTATTACAAATTTAATAATAGAGTAACAAACTTTGAAAGTATTCAACGATTTGATTAGAACAAGTTGACATTTCCATGAAAGTTTATTAACCAAAGTTGAAATTAGTACTCGTGCTTCGCGAGGCGAGTCCCAATTTGTCGCCTTATTTTTACTACTCAATCAATAAAATCTTGACATCTCACTATAATTTTAAACTATCATGACACCCCACACCCGCTAAATCTCACTATAATTTTTGAGATTGAACCTCTAAATTTTTTACGCCTCAAACTCTTAATAATATTTCAAAATTTTGTTGAGGGGACAATGTGGGATAGATGAAAAATGGAGCGCATACCGCGACTCTTGTCAAACATATGAAATTGGAGAGTATACTTAAGGTATGTTTCATCAAATTATTTATTTTTATATTAATATAAGAATTATTGCTAAAAATATTTTAATTATTTTTAATTTGACCAAGTAAATTTTATTTATTATTAGATTAGACTCAAAGCCCATTTTTGTTGAAGTCAAAATCAACAATTAATTTTAATTAAATAAAATATATAACTTTTCAACCATTTATTTCACTAATTTTTTTTTTATTTATCAAAATTTACTAAAAAATTAATTTTTAATCCTCACCAAAAAAGAAGCAAGATATGCTTGGATTTATTAATTAAAAAAATATTGATTCCTGTTAAAATAATAGCCTTTTTATTTTTAAAATTTACCAAAAAAGCCCGCTTTGTATCAAATATACTAATTTCTTTATAAATATAAACATACGTATGTATATTTTTAAGGATAATTCCATATGTTTGGCACTGTACACCATGTTTTTCTCCCCAAATGCCAGGAGGAGAGGTGTTCCCCGAGCAGTGTACCCTACATATAGCATAATCAATTGCAACAAGAATAATGCTGTTTATATATAAACAATTATATAATGGTTTAGATGTGTCAAAAAGGGAATGAAAAAGTTTTTATTCTTTATTTAATTAAAGAAATTCTGACTTAATCATATCTTTGTGTATCGTACATATGTAAATTGTTATATAAATTTATCATGTACTTATAGCACAATTGTTGTACCAAATCCCATACATTGACACACAATTATAATCAAATGATTTGTTGAATATGCCTCCTTAATCATATTTTATTGGTCGATTATTAAGTCAATCTCCAATTAATCAAATTTAGTCAATGCAAGTCAAATCTTTTAATTGCTTACTTTAATCATTTGACAATTCAACGCATTGCTACGTCATTCTCTGTTATTTTAAATTTTTTTCCTTAACTCTGGCAAATACATTTCTGTTTCATACATTATTAGCTTTACTTGTCGATATAAAAAATTACCATACATTCAATAACCTTTTAGGTTTTAGTTATCAAAAAGAGAGACGTGAAATATTTGGTTATTATTGCACCCCAATTTATCTAATTCAACACACTATAATATATGCTCGTTCTTAAAAGACTAAACTTTTGACATAACTGTGAGTTATTGAATTTCAATTTTATCATTGTACATCTAAGAAGCAATCACTAAACTCCGTTTGACTTCCATTAATCCATGCAACATAATTGGGGACATGTTTGTTAGCGTATTTGTCGTAGTCAGTTTCAATTCCCATCCACGTGTCTTAAATTATGAGAAAGATGAATTTATCGTTGGGTTAACAGTGTGATTTGATTGTACCAAATTGAAGTTTGGTGGCTCATTTGGATTATGGAAAAATTTAGTGACCCATTCTTGTATATGAGATTTGTTTTAACAATTCAAACTTGCAAATAAATCTGTGACCTGATTATTTATTATAAGTTGAATATCAAGAAAATCTCATCAAAGATATTATATTTACAAATTTACAGTAAACTTCAAAAATTAAATTCATTCAATAAATGGTAACTATTTACAATAATCACGCAAAAAAGATAGCAATTTTTTAATATTTATAACGCAAAATTTAAATCTGATTATTATTGTTACAATCGTTAATTAAAAACTGATAATCCTATAAGTTACATTCAACCTAAAACTGCAACTTTGTATAAGTGTTACAACCATTAGATTTTCCCCATTAAAATCTGGAAAATCAATTAAATGAAGGATTTAATAGATACCAACATTAATGACAAATATATATCTACACACACATAGATAGACAAGTTTGAGATCTGCTGTTATGGTGCGGTCTACAAACGTTAATGAATTATGCACCTATTTGATACAAATTAAAATCTAAATTTTTGTTAAAGTCAAAATCAACAATTAATTTTAATAATATATTTCATGAAATCCACAATTTTTGAATCACATCTAATAAAAATTTAATTTTTATTTCCATCAAGCAAGGCTTATTGATCCCAATTTTTTCAAAAACTCAATTTTTTTTTTCAAAACTTATTTTTAACTATATATTCTCCCATAAAATAATTTTACTTGCAAATTTAGTTTTTTATTTTTAATCCCACATTTTCTAACAGAATGCTAATTCAAAATACATTTTAACCAAAAAACGAGGCTCAAACAACAACATATATATTTAAGTAGAACCATGCAACTGTATCAGGGAGTAGAGACGGATTGAGAGGGGGGGGGCTGGGCTGGGCTGTAGCCCCCCTCCCTCAGGGCCAAGAGCTTTTTTTTAAGGTGCTTTTTATTTTTTTTGGTAAAAAATCAGTTTTTTATGCATAATTTTTTTTCCCACGTGGTAGTCCGGTTTGAAATTTTGTAGCTCAGTCTTGAATCCATTCTGATCAAGGAGGGTTTGACGCTATTGATTAGTACCAAGATCGAGTCCTAAACAAGCATATCAAAATCCATAGCTTTTAAATCTGGCCAGGTTTTTCCCCTTCCTGATTGACACTGCGTGTCCCACTTTTGTTTTTGCATTTTTTTTTCTTATGTTGGTCCCATGTATGTGAGTAGATGTCAATCAAGTGCAAACATTTTCTAACAAAAGAGATTAATCCATTTGAGCAAGGAAACTCTTAAGAGACTGATGCGAGTCGAAATCCTGTGTGCCTGTTTGGCTGGACTGTCCCGAAAGACAGACAAATTAGGGGTCCCATAAACGAAAAATCTTCCAGATGTGTAATAAAGTCTCTTTCTTTCTCCATAAACCACACATACGCAAGCGAACAGACATTTCACATTTGAGAACAGAACCTCCTTTCCAAAGCATATATACGTATCAGTTCACTAGTTTGTGAATGGTTTTGCTTTATGATGAAAACAACTTGATTCCCTTTCTTCGGTGGCCATGGATTTCTGTTGATTGAGTGTTGAAATTTTCTTGGCTCGGAAAAACCTTCTCTCTCCCTCTTTCTCTCTCTCTCACACACACACACATTTTGCGGGTTGTTTTCTAGTGAAAATCGATATCACAAGAATGTTTATAAATAGTTTTGCTCTCTAATAAAGTTGGGTTTTGCGGTTTGCTTTTGATTTCAATTTTATTGGGTTTTGATAAGGAGAGAAAAACTCGCAGGATTCGTGAAGAATGTTTGATTGAATTTGACAAAATTGAGAAGACTTTTTAGTTTTTGCTAGTTGTTTGCCCAAACGTTAAAGAATAGTAATCTTTTTCCTTCCTGTGCCAGTTTTCCGCTCTCTCTCCTATTTAAGGGAAAGAGAATCCCGTTAATTTCTCTCTCATTTTACCTTTCCTGTATTTGTTTTCGTTTTCCACGGTTTCCAAGAGTTAGGAGAGAGAAACACTGAAATCTCTCTTGTTTTTTTTTCTCTCTCCTTTTCTGGTTTTCAAGAATCATGTTGATCCTTGACAAGAATTCAACCCAAACAAACCTTGAACGCTTCTTGGATTGCATAACTCCAGCTGTACCATCTCAATTCTTATCTAAGGTATGTTTCTTTAATGCTTATGGATTTTATTTATTCGTATTTCTTCGTTGATTAATGTGTTCTTTTTAATTAAATCAGAGTGAGATGAGGAAGCTGAATAGGCTATGGCATCCATGGGAAAGAGAAAAAGTTGATTATTTTACATTAGGGGATCTTTGGAGTTGTTATGATGAATGGAGTGTTTATGGGGTTGGAGTTCCAATTAGTCTTGATGATGGCCAAAATTTAATCCAGTATTTTGTGCCGTATCTCTCTGGTATACAAATCTTCACCAGCAATGGTTCTGTAAACAGTTTAAGGTAATTCCCTAAGCAAATCGGGTTAGCTTTTTACGTTTACAAGTCGAATGAATTGATATATGTACTTTATTTGCAAAAAGTCCCGAATTTGTTAGGCCTAATTCGTTAATTTTGTGTGAATATCAATAAGTTTATGACGAGTAATCTCTTCTGTTCTCTGGTTTAAAGTTTTTGGATTTTAGTAATATGAGAGGAGGTTTTTACTTGAACATGTTGTGTTGTGTAGTTGTTAATGAACATTTAGAGGCAATTAAAATGCTTATAAAAAGTCGATGGTTAACATAATCATGTTGGATTGGTGCTATACTGTAGGGAAGAAACTGATTCCACAAGTGAGTTGAGGGATTCGTTTAGTGACTCATTCAGCGATGAAAGTGAGAGTGAAAAGTTGTCGCGATGGGATGGATGTTCCTCTGAGGAAGGGTTATTCGAGCAAGATGGGTTCTGGCACCTCAATGATAAATTGGGTAATCTTTACTTCCAGTACTTTGAGACATCTTCTCCTTATGGAAGGGTTCCTCTCATGGACAAGGTAAACCTTATTTAGTTTTCAAGATTTTGTTCAAATATCATCTGCATTTTTGGGTGTAAAATCACCGAGTATTGAAAAGATGGAAAAAGAAGCAAATTAATGTGAATATGATAAAATCACTTGAAATAATGTTCCTAAGAGGCATCCATTGATTAAAGATGTTGTGGAACTTTTGACTTTAAAAAATGAATCAACTTGCTGTTGTCTATTATAGGCCATCTTTATTTGTCTTCTGATTTAATTAGAAACTACTTTTTCTTATATTGCATTTAGTTTTCTCATCTTCACAAGCATATGTTCTTGCTTTTGCATATTGACGAGATTCCTTTTCTGTAAGCATGAAATATGATTCGGCGAGAACATGATGTTTGATATATTATCTTTTAATTCGACATTCCATGCCGAAACGTAACTTGACGCCGTTCTTATTTGTTTTACAGATGAGTGCCTTAGCTGAAAGATACCCTAGATTACTGACATTGAGAAGTTCAGATCTTTCACCTGCTAGTTGGATGGCAGTTGCTTGGTTCGCATCTCGCTCTTTTTCTAGTATCGGTACTTATAATATTACATTTTCCTCCCTAGTTTGGTCACTAAATTCACTGATGATGAGTGTGATTCAGGTATCCGATTTATCACATTCCAATGGGCAGAACCTCCAAGGACTTGAACACAGGCTTTCTCACATACCACATCCTTTCTTCTTCTTTTCAAGGTATGCCATTTGGTGAAAGTGAATTCATTATTGTCTCTTTCGCTTTACGCTTAGAATATTTCTTGCACGAAATGCTTATTGTTTGTGCTCATGCCTATCCACAGACATGGACCTTGAGGACGACCCCGTGAGCAGGGAAGGGAAAAGCAAGGGAGGAGAAAGCATCTCTCTCCCTCCATTTGGTATGGCCACTTATAAGATGCACGGTGATGTGTGGGTCTCGGACAAGGACGGGAGGGACCAAGAGAGGTTGGCATCACTTTTGAGCGTGGCAGATTCTTGGCTAAAGCAATTAAACGTCCAGCACCATGATTTCAACTACTTCATGGGGATTCGGCATGGCTAAAAACGCGCACTGAAATTCTCTTCAACTTCACAAAATGGATTGATTACTAGAATCCTTTTTTTTTTCTGGGTTAGAACGCCTAAAACTGAGTGGCTTTAGGGTGGTAAGTGTCTAGGTGAGTATGACCTTTCGCTGATATTTTTGCATTAGGATACCTTGGGGTGATTGACATTCGAAGGCTCTTCCTATTGAGTTTACACGAGATTGTTGTCTTAAGGAGTAATTATAGATTGTTAGAGAGAGGGAAGAGCCCTTTGGGACTCTTTTTAACTGGGGTCTAATTTAACGATACATTTCATATCCTGTACGGAGAGTGTTGCTTTCTAGGCTTTAAACATATTTCTCCGTTTTGTAAATTTCTACTATTTTTCTTCATATAACTTGTTACTTTTTGTCATCAGCTTGATTAGATGCACAAGAATTGTTAGAATTTTGACTTTCATTTTGTTTCAAATAAGAGATAGGATTAATCGAAAGGTATTTGGTGGCAAAAGGTTTGTTACATGGTGCAAACATGACCTCACATACCAAGGTCGATTAACGGGCGTTATTTTCTCTGTTCTTCATTATCAATTCAGATAAACCTTTTGCAACCATGTGTTGCCCCTTTGGTTTGAAGAGGAAATAAGCTGTCTTAAACCATTATGGATGCTGGCAAGGACCGACCGCTATACCTTTTCAACCACCTCTTGTCTCTTTGCAACGTATAACTAAAGATAAGCAAATGAAGGATTATTGCGTGACTATTGAATCGAATCAGACGAAGTAAATACAAGCGTCGAATTGGAAGTTACTTTTTTTTAGTGACCATTTTTGTAATTTCAATTAACTTTCAGTGACTAAATGGTAAAATACACTAGCAACCATTTGATAACATGAATTTTTTAAAAAAAAATTTCCCCAAATTTGAATGACCATTTTGAAATTAACTCAAACAGAATGACTTGCTGACAATTTTAATTCTATAATTAGTTTGTAAAAATAGAAATAAAAATAAAAATAAATTAGTGGGAGTGACTTCGTGGACGGATTTTGGATGATTGTTTGGTTGGTCATAAATCCTAAGGCTAAATGGATAATTATTGAATTGTTGATAGACTAGAAACCATTAATGACAATTTGGTATTTGACTATTGGTTTGACAGGACTGGAAAAAGATAAATGCCAAGTTTCTTGTCATATTAGCAATCTGACTAGTGGCATTAGCGGTCCCAACCATTTCCCTATATAGCAATTTAATCCCCACATTTTTTTCAAGACCCCAAAATCAACCTCCAATTTATCTTTCGCAAGAATCATCCGTGAACTAAGTTTGTAACAAGTTGGTGTTCAATCGACAGTTTTCATCATCAATTGATTGCTAAAATGGTTTTGAACTTAGCTTCCCTTGACCCTTTCACCCACTCCCACTTTTTTCGTTACCTCTATCATCTCTTGATTTTCTTCACTCTCGTCTTTCCTTATTCTTTTCTGTCTGACTCCATTTTTCTCATGGCCTTCTTTTTTCTTTCTTTTGGGATTTTTTTTAATCTCATAAAAAATAAATATATAAATGCCTTTTCATTAAAAATATACACTTTTTAATATTAGGTTGATGAAAATTGTCATTTGGAGACCAAGTTGCCATGAGCTCAAAAGATCTACAACTCTAGAAAAAATTAGACTGAGGACAAAATTATTAAGAAAGATATGCTATTAATATTGACAATTCAAACACGTAAAAGTATTAATAGTCAAGCGAACCATGTGCAAGTTTGCGATAAAAATAGAGAGTACTTGTGACGCAAGGCTTTATAATCTTTCCAAAGTCCAACAACGAACAAATGCTTTTAATTGGTTACTACTTCACATCATTAAAAACTATTATCAAAGAATACGAGAATATGAGCGTAAAGCATGATTTCGTGACCAATGAATGTGGTGTTAGGTTGTGTGTCTATATAGTATTTTTGCAATGATAAAATAAATATTTATAATAAATAAGTTGTGGTCTTATTTATTTATTGTATTATTTATTATTGAGCATACAAATTAAAGTGTCTATCATCACTTGTGATAATGTAAGTTGAGTACTTGCATTAAGAAGTACATTGTGATAAAACTTATATTTTGATCATAAATAATTTGTTCATAACTAATGTATAAGGGTTGACACCTTATACTAAAAGGTTATAGCGTCGATCGATTCACTATTAAAGTTTGTGATTTGTCTTTATCATAGAAATAGTTAAATGTGACACTAGTACACTTGAAGTGTATTGAACAGACAGCGTGTCGAATTTAATTATGCAGTATAACCGTGTGGAGAATTAAATTCCATTTGACCGCTGTATATTTCATCTAAATCCATTGATAGTGGTATGCATATCTTTTCGTTATTTTAATGATTCTTTGGTTCATCAATGGGTGAGATCAATTTGATTGGTCAAATTCTTGATGGATTGGGAACTTGAGAATGAGCGGAGTGGAGAATATGAATTCATGTCGATAACCGTCATCCTGAAAAATGGGTAGAGTGACTACTTATATTTTTCTGTTGAATAGTTAAAATATGGGCTCAGTGTTTAGTGACGGCTAAATTTCGACATCTGTAATTAGTTTACAGGACCGTTGAAGAAAATAATATTTAAGTAAGTGAAAATAATTAGAAGGGTAAAACGATCATTTATGCTCATACCTAATATCGGATCTCGGACGGGATAAAATACATATACAGCAGGTCAGAAGAAAAATATTATAGATTTATTGATATCTATGATCTAATAAACTCCAAGAGTTCAGTTTTGGCCTTTATTCGAAACATCAAAGACTAATAATTAAATAGTGTGGTTTAGGGTCGTTTAGACATGATCTAATTATTGTAACTTGAATAATATATGTCGGATCAGATCCTTATGGTAGCTCTATAAAGTATTAAAACTTAATTACTGTAATTATAATAGTTTTGGGCTTAACTGCAGCTACAATAAAGTTTTATACTTGGTTGTAATTATTATAAAAGTTGTAAATTTAATTATAATTGAAATTGATTTTAGGACCACATATCTAATTGAATGTAAACTGATTGAATTTGAACTTTAATTAAAACTCCTACTTGGATTTTAATTAAAATTCTTATTTGAATATGGAATTATTATTGTACAATGATTGCAACCATTTTATCTCTATATATAGAAACTAGATCAAAACTGGATATCTTATGGGATTCTACAGCAATCATAATACATAATTCAATTGTGTTCAAATTTTAGAGAGAGGGAAAAAAGGGAGACAAAATTATTTTTCTTACCCTTTTCAATTGTTCAGTTTAAGAATTAGTTTCTTGATTTAATTAAAAAAAAGTACACACTTACCGGTGTAGTCTTAACTTTAGAGAATACCATAGAAAACTTGGAGTTTGAAGTATCAACTTCTTGGAATTAAAAATGTGGAAGTTCATAATCCAAAAGACTGAACGTTTGTGATTAATAATTAATTCAAGAATTAACTATCGAATTTAGGTAAAAATTCGAATTCTTTATTTTTGATATAACATACACATAAATATCTAGACGATCTTGTTTATTGGATTAAAGAAATAATTTAGTTTCTGGATAATTTCGCTTCCTCGTTAGTTCTCTTGTTCCTGGTTGAACAATAAGCCAATAAATTTAGAAGAAAATTGTGATTATATGAGAGGAATTTGTTGATCATTATTTCGAGATAGCAATTATTACACTCATAGTTGGGGATGAGATGTCGAACAATCATTCAAGATCATATTGTAATAGGTTACAAACAAACCATAATGCACAAGGACTACAGTGCAACTAATCACAAGTCAACCTATGGGTACTCAACACTACACTACACTACACATGGTCATTTACAACTTTTTGTTAGAATAGGAGTTGCTGGTTTCCACTTTAATGTTGCCAAAATATTTATTATTTATTTTATTTAATTTTTTTAAAAGGAATTTTTAGGTATTTGAAAGAGAGAGTTACGAAATAGGACGTTCTATTGAAACATTAGATTGTAAATGCATCCAAACGTTCGTGGACCTTGTCTAAGTATATAAAACGATTTTGATCGTATTGGTCCTATTTTTTCAAAAACTTATTTTTATTCACACATTATCTAGTAAAATAATTTCACACGTAAATAAAAAAAAATTTCTTATTTTTTAACCACACATTTTCTAATAAAATATTATTTTAAAATGTATTTTGACCCAAAAATGACCCCAAACAAAGGGTTAGGATACACACGAACAGGTGTACATCAAACATGCTCTCATTTTACTATTAGAGCTGTTGAATTATGTAATCCACCGAGCGCAAGTTAATTTGTATAATGGGGGTTTCTGCGCGCAAACTCATCGGAAGTGATAATTCATTTTTATTAAGCTATTTGGAATAATGATGAGCCCACAGCCCCACCTAGGATTGATAACACTAGTCCATGGCTTAATTTTATACTTTTCAAGAAAAATTTCAATGACACTTTTATGTGCACTAAAAAGTAGGATTGGGAATGACAAGGGGTACTTTTCAAATGGGCCATCTCGTATTGTCATTTTTCCACGAAGTCATTGCCAATTCATCAAAAACGTCGCTTAATGAACAAAAGACAAAAATATTCTTATATTGTTACATAATTACAAAAATATGATATTGTTTAAAAGACAATAATACCCTTTTAAATTAAAAAGAATTCCAAACGCTTCACACTTTAAATTTCAAAATGCAATCGCTTTTTTATCTGTTTACTTCAACATAGATAAGATTTCATAAATTTATCAAATGCTTAACAAGAAAATATTATTTGTATCTATCAAAAGGAATTGGGAAGTATATTTATGTATTTTTAATTTCTTTTTCGTTAAACTAGTGTATGTTTGAATCTTTAAATCTTATTTCGACATAGACAGATAAATTTTTACAATCTTAAATGAATCTATAACTTTTTAAGCAAAAATGAGGAAAAAAATCTATCTACATGTATATTTTCAGACAAGATCCGAAGATCAAGATGACCGGAAAATGATCGTCGGGGCCAATTGTCTTTGGTCCGATCGGCCGTTTCTAGTCTTCCCCACCAACCCAAAATGTCTTTCTTTCCCTCCTTTTTCCCATAACTATAATTTTTTTAACAAATTATGTTTCCTTATAAAGACAAGCAAATGACGTGGTGATACTGCAATTGTGATAAGATTGAGTACATCATATACAGAAATGTACCATAAATTATAGAACATGCTAGCGTCAATCCCTCTCAATATGACATGGAATTGGGATTTCTATTCAGCGAGCATACGTCCATTTCAATTCCGCCTACAATGATTATTTCTGAAATTGAAATGAAGGTTTTAATTGAAATGAACTTGAATTGCATGATTCCTATTTGCGTAACTTTAGT